ATGCACTTCCGTACTTGTTTTAATAGACTTTTGATACACAACCGCGCGATCGATCCATTTCGTCGCATGCGCAACGAACGATCACACTCGACGTATGCCCCGGTCCGATCGATGCGCCGACTATTTTCCATGTTTTCGTACGAATCTCTCGCGACAACCGCGACCCTGGTTATTACGGGTTGTTACCGCGCGGAGTGAGAGAACGAAGGAAAGCTCGCTGTAGCGCAATATTCTGTGCTCTATGTTAGCACGTGTTGGGAAGTTTACTGAAGAATGTAACATACGGTAATTGCTGTAATATTTTGTAATATATTATAATACATTGATAGAATATATATATATATATATATAGATAAATTGACTTTTTTTTTTAACGAGAAGTAATTAAAAGTGTGAGGTAAAATTTGTTTATACGAATGCGTTTGGAGAGAATATTTCGGCGGTATTTCGAAGAAAATATGACTTTGAGGAGATTGAAAAGTTAAAATAAACTCAAGTATAAAGAAAGTTAAATATAAACCTTATCTTGGCTCGGGACTTTACTTATTAACAAGATGCAGAATCTCGCTCGAAAGGTCAATTAAGATGATCTTAATAAAATTATGAAGAACTTTGCACAAATTATCTCGTATTATTGGGATGTAACATTTCGCACGTAATTTATTTTATTTTATTTTTAAAGACCTTCAGTCCGCTTTCTCAGGAATATACATTGCTTCATAATCGCTACATTAGTACATTAGATCACTGTTTCATTCATAAGGAATGCTATTATTAGTCGTATATTCGATTCATTGTGATATTATGTAGTTATTTACACTACAGTTTATAGTTATATTATTATAGAATATTTAGAATAGTCACGTAAATCTAGAATTAATTTACGATCCAGAAGATGCTTTTTTCTAGTAGACATTTCCACTTTGATAATAAATTTAGTATTTAAATCAATACTTACGCTGTGATATTCCAGCAATATTTAATATTTAAAATAAAAGAGCATGTGAATTTATGTTCTCTAATGTGTTGAAAATATTTGAAATTAGAAGCTGTCTGTGGATAATATCGGCAAATGACTGTAAGTACCGAGGACTGCCTTAATAGAACACGAAAGTAGAAATTCCGCAGCATCGTCATACGCTTGAAAAATCTTGAATTACGTATTTTCGCAACTCGTGTACATAAGATGTAGACTCTGTCAAGATCATATTAGACAGTGAGTTCTATAATTATCTTGTCGGCATTATAGCCCACGCGAAGCATCCGGTCTTTCGTTCAATTAATTATTAATTAAAAAGACTATTTCTAGGTTATCTAAAGAGTTGTAACGATTCGATCCCGATTTAAACGAATTCTTTTGTCTCGAGTTATTGACAAAAAAGTCAACGTACTCCTCTTGTTTCATAGATTTGTTATTTTATATATTCGCAGAATTTATTCTTACTTTTTGGACAACACGTATGTAAATTTTTATCCATGCACAAAACATATGAATGGGCTAATGTATAATTCTCGTAAAAATATTGAATCGTTTTTGACACATAGTCATAGCGACACAGATCGTTACCTGAATTGGTAAACTGAAATGGTATAATCATAATAAACATAATATTAAATTCATATTGGGATCATATTATCTTGGTAATTTGATTATGATATTTTAGGGAGAAATATTAAAAAATGTAAAAATTATGTGCGCGAAATAACTACACAAATATACAATTAAATTATTAAAATTATTCTAAAAAAAAAAGAAACCTGACATATATTTGTTATACATACATATATACTTCGTCCTACATTTGTCGTACTTGATTATCTCTAATAAATTTCGTTGTACTTAACACCTAAAGGAGATTTTGTCTCTTGAACTACAGGCACGCAACAAACCAGCGGATGGCGTGGGTCATGTAAACCAAAAAGGTGCTTCCGGTCAGAAAGCGCCAGTAGCTGGTCAGAAGGTTGCGCCGGGTGCTAAGGGCGCGGCGAAATCGTCCCAGAAGCCGTCAGCCCAGAAAGGCCAAGTGAAAGTAACACCCAAGGCGGCCTCCGTAAAGACCGGCAAAAACAAGAAGAAGGGACAACGACAACAATATGATCTCATTGTTACTATTAATCTGGTGAGTGCTAATATCATCACTGTCACATCATTTAAGGTCAAAATATTTCGTCTAGAATCACTTTGTGAGTAAATTTTTTTATATTCCTTAATCTTCATTTTATTGCAAAGAGATTAGTAGGTTTATAATATTCTCAATGTGCCATAAATATTTTCATAAATTGTTCCTTTGCTTCAAAAGTGACATAACTTAAAAAATTAAGTTTCTTAGAAAAAAGAAAAAAACTATTTTTCAAATTGACAAAAGGTTGATTAATCAAATACTATAACAATTAAATGTTATTTTTGTTTCACAATCACATTTTCAGTTGTAACGACTTTGACGATTTTTTTTATGTAATTAAGTTATACATTTTTGACTGATTAACTGGGTAACGTTTTTTTTTTTAAATCATTCTTTTTTAGGTTAATTTTTTATGAAATTAAGCTATAGTTCACACTTGATGATTAAGAAGATAATGTTTACTTAATTCATTCATATAACTCAAAAACACATTTTTTAATTTATGTCATCTTCAAAGTAAGAAAGAGAAAATATAAGAGATTATTTCGCAAAATTCTTATTTTAATGACAGATTTGAATTCTACCTTATGTAAAATATTAATATTTTTTGAAGTTAGAGTAAAACGAAGTAATTTTAGATTAATAGAAATTTTTTAATTGGATAAGATTGAGATCGCATATATATTGTATTCAATTAAACACATAAAACATATATTACTGATACAATAATATATGTTTTGTATATTTGATTGAATACACACAACACACTATTCAATTTTAATCTTTCATACAATATGAAAATTTTTGTTAACCTGTCCACAAATTACTATACCTCGTTTTATCCTACAAGTCATAAGAAATAAAGAATTTTTTTGTAAACTGAACTTGAATAAGGGATCTTAAAGTCGTCTATTTTGCCGATTAAACGCAATAATTTTCATAAAGGATTATTGCATATATTATGTTTGAAACTTCTAGAATTAAAGTACACGCATATGTCATATTATACCTAATACTAGTCTGTATATAACGTGGAATTTATGCCTAGATAATTTTGAAATTAAACAATTAATATAAAGAGATAAGGGCAATGAGCCAATAATATCGTTAAATCCTTTTAAATTAATCTAATATATATTGCGAAGAATATCACGTAATTATGGCGTTTCGTCCTAACTTCCACTACTGGACTCATCAGTAAGGCATTGTAGTGGAAGCCTACCTTAGACGCCTGTTTTGAAATTAAAATTTTTTTATACTTATACGATCGAATTACATTTAGACATCTAATTCGATATGATGAATCTTTACGAAAACTTGGCGTATGTGTGGATGCAATGTTGATGTATATATAATATATTAGTACGTAGTGATGTGTCGATTGTCGATACACGTAAATCAAACGTTATATAAATCCTATATCGATAAAACAACGATTCGGGCTTCACTTTAGTTTAGAATTCCTTTAATAACAAAAATCTCGTTTTTGTTCTAAAATATATTATTATACCTTTCTACAGAATTTTAGTATTTAGCTTAATTATTTATTAGTATCACTCAATTTATTCATGCTTAACCACGCAACCACTTTTCTTAAAAACTGCCTTTCATTAATAGAAATTGAGCTAAAATGAAGTTTAACATTTTTTTAAAACATCTTGTAAAAGTTATTCAAAAAACTTTACAAGTATGCGAGTAGTTGATTTTGATCAGTTATTTTCAGTCTGCCGTAAAATCATTAGCGATATTCACAGATGATTTACGTGAGTAGATTATCTATAAATTATTTCTGTTCATAGAAATGAGAGCGAAATTATCGGTGACGAATCGAATCGCATCGTGAGCTGCCTTTGTCAACTTAGCGTGCGCTTCGCGTAATGCGTGTACATTGGCAATAAATACGGCACGATCTGACCCAGTTGTATACGCGATGAGCGATCGATAAGTTGCTCATGTTCAGCTAATGTGTAACGCGTATGTGTTGTCAAGATATGCCGAAGGAAAATAGTCGTTTTGTCATTATTGGCATAATTAGCGATAGCTCCTCGATCGCGTTATTCTATTTTGGGATTGCACTTCCAGATGTGACTGTTCATAATTTCAAATAGATCCGTTATTTGATCTTCATGCAAATTGCGTGTGTATGATGTACGCAGTTCTAGCATTTTACTATTTTGCACTTATTGTAAACTATTGTTATTACGACAATCTGTTGTAAGCCAGCCTTTATACGTTTCATATCATTTCTGTGTCATGTACGTATAGAGGTATTTATTCATTGAGAATTTTAACATTATCTTTCATACTTTTATCAGTTTATCACGTATGACTTAATTATTATTTTATATTATATTAAATATGACCTTTCAAAAAGTAAAATTTAATTTTTGTACAAGAGATTTAAATTATATTTGGAAAATTGTTTCCATTTTATTGATATATTTTTCCACAAAAACATTCAAAGTGATGTCAAGCGAATTATCAAGATAATTAAATTTATAATATCTCTCTTCAAGCAGAGTTGTACTATTGAATATTTTTTCTTGCTGATATTGTATTTTAATATTAACATGATAACTTTATATTAATATTAACATTAATACATATTATTAAAATATTATTGACTTTCTACAACAAACTTATCTAAGCTGAAGTTTTAAACTGTAAGAAATTGACCAATCACAGTCAAATAGAAGAAGAATAATCAACTATGATTGGTTAATTTTTCTTATATGGTTTAAGACTCAAGGCAATTAAATAATGGATTTATTATACATAGAAAGCCCATTACGCTAGATCTATTATGTTCGAATGTCTACATATAGAGAAACGCCAGAAATAGAAATACATGAATCTTTCGAAAAGCAAGAAGCAATAAGTATTGACATTTAAAAACGAAGATATTGTGATTAAAAACAGTATGATATAAATTACATTGCCGATAATTTATTCTCGTACTCGTTAATGCGCAAAGTTATGACGAGTAAAATATCTGTCCATGCAACGCGAGAAGCGGGGAAGTCACCTAAGCGTCTAATCGTAGAGGGGACCTGGTAGTTAAAAACAGACTAAGGTTGCCGAAGTCTCAAACGCGCTCTTTGTCATCGTGCGGACACTATCGCTCAATCGCGCTCGACATCCGAGCGTTCGGAAGCCGCGCCGCGACAGCAAGCGTGTCCTTCCTTCTCGAGGCGTACGCGAAAAGTATGCGTGCGTACGACCGCGAAAGTTGAAGTTGCCGAAAAGCGAAGTGAAACGGACAGGATAAACGAATCGCGGCACGTTCCTCGATTTCATCCGGTCGAATCGCGAGGCGCGCGAACTTCGTATTCCAAGCGCGCGTATATTTCTCTATACGCCACACGTGCGTCGCGTCGGCTATTTTTACTCAATCGCAAGCTATCATATCCTCGAATAGTGTCGCCCGTGTGATTACCACGGAATACCGTGCCCGATCAGATGCGATCGTCGATGTTTCATTTTATCGGGAAAAACGACGAGATCCGTTGGCCTTAGGACCAGTTCAAACATCGTCTTCTCAATTTTATTCATCTAAATAGAAAAAAAAAAAAAAAAAAAAAAAGGGGGAGCATGATCTTTCGGATATGTCGCACCTCTCTTTCTCAGCAATAGCAATGGCCTTGAGGAAGCTTTTGATCGATAAATATTAGATTCATTCGGTTCTCTCTCTTTCTCTCTTTGAGTACAGCTTTTGATGAATCCGCGAACATACATCGACTTCGATTCCGGAAGTTTGTCATAAAGGTGCGGTTTACGTCTCTCCTTTTTTCTTCTTTTTACGCATTGACGGGCCGGACGTCGCATATGACGCGCTTTTGTAATGGGAGGGAAATGTCGGTCTCGATGGAGACTCGACGGTAATTGGGACGAGACACAGACGCTAGACACAGCCACGGAATTCGCAGTTAACGTATAATCTTGCATAATCTCATCATCGGGTCACTTCCAACACACATTCCCGGCACGATCGGCGTAACATTTGAATCATGGCGGAAACAGAAAAGAGATACACGCACGCATATGGACAGCTGCGCAGATTAACGAGCACGATAGACGGTCAAATTAGACAGTTGAGCGTAAGTAAGAGTATAGATTTCTTTGAACGGCGGAAACTTAAACCGTGTGCGTGAAGTGTTGAAATTAAGAAAGAAATTTTTGTTAAAAATACAACTCGTGTGAATATTATTGATACGTATATTCGAATAGAGCCATTCGCTGGGAGACTCGCTATCACGTTGCGACACGTTATTATTAATAATTCATTATACGACCTCCCTTCGTGTCGGAGTTTCTAGCGTTTGGCATCTCGCCAAAATTTCTTCAATATCTTCTCTGTATCGTACGAGAACAGATCATAGAAGAGTAATAGTTGAAGTAAGATCATTCGCCTATAATTAAGGGGCAACATCTTATAGATGTCACTGTATGCATGTGTATAATAGAAATTTAATTTATAGAAATTTAATTCATAGATGAAACAAGATTGCATTATGCGTTGTACGAAATGATAGATGTTCGTCCTTTTCTCTGTTTCAGTCCGAATATGGACTCACAGAAGATCAGGTAGCAGGTGAGTTATTTAATGATTCAATATTATAATTATAAAATAGGTAAAACAATTAGTAAATCAATAATAAATTATGTAGAATTAGTATTGTAGAATTACAATTTTATAATATTTCTGAAATTCGTGATATCAGTTTAATATTTTGTATTATAAAATATATAAACAGTTTTTTTTTAATAATTAATATTTATTCTTTGCGCAAATTCATGTTGTCTTATACATTTTGTGTATGTAAGAATGACATTTTGAACGCGTCGTCAGATACATGAAAGACATAAAAGTGATTGTTATATGTGCAAGTGTGTGCCAGTTGGCAGCAGTTTTTCCTGTTTACCTAATATCTTGATGCTGAATCAGTTATAATGAGAGTTAGAAATAATTTAAAAGGGACAGAACACATAGTAAATTCAAACGATACCGATAATGAAATAGTTTACTAGATAATCTAAACGAATAAACTCCCTCAACATAAATAATTGATGTATAGTTTATGACACGCAGATGGGCCGTCAGGGTCATTATCTCTAATAACATCATCGTTGACACGCAATAATATTGATTATATAATATTTAATTCACGATCTAACTTATTGCGATCTTTGCATTCTTCTACTTTTTCTCATTATAATCTTATTCTTTAGAATACTAGACAAAAGGGAGATAGAAAAATTGAGAGAAAACTTTCATAAATTAATTTATTCCTGGCCTATATATTAGTATATGTGTATAATATACATATATACATATATGTATATATAAAATTATTTATAATTAAAAAAGGTAAAGCATGTTGTACATATATATATGTATATATATGAATATAACGCACCTTTTTTAATTATTAAAATCCAGATATTAATTAACCCTCCATTGCTTTTGCTCGGCTAATAAATGTTGGTACTCTCGTATAAATGCCGCACTGTGCCTGTACATGTGTTACTGTTTAGTACACCGTGGCCATATAATTTTATCAGATCACGTGATTTTAATTTTTTCAGGTAATTGTAAGAATAAATTGAAGTCATTTTTACATTCTAAATCCTTTTATTATTTCATCTCCATTTTAACTGTATCGTTTTACATCTTTCTACAATAAATAAGAATTATAGTAGCATTTCTTTAATGAAAGTCCTTTACATAAAAAAATGTAGTTTTACTTTTTGGTGTTTTAGGTAACACATATAGGTATTGTATATTGATTACATATCACTCTACTTTTAAAATTGATACCTCAAAATAAAATTATTAAAAAATTTCTGTATTTTTTTTGTATAACTTTCTGTTTATAGCTGCTGCTTATTTAAAGCGTAACATATTCAAAACTGTAATATATTTTAAATAATATCAAAATGTAGATAATTCTATAGTATTACGTTGAATTTCATGTAATAAACATTTATTTATAGTCGAGTTAATATAAAACTTTACTTACTTTTGCGTCGACAATTTTGTAAGAAGAAAAGGATGAGATATCGATTGGTTCATTGATTTATTATATTAAATTTTGAGCTGCAACAGCTGCATTAGTTGATTCATATCTACATATTATTCTCGCCATGAACGTCGCGTTCAGATGTAATGCGCATTAACATCTTTAAAATTTTTAATGAAATTGAGAAAACGACTATATAAATATAATCTAAAGGTTGTAAAAAAAAGTTAGAAAATTTCTCAGAGTTAATATTTATGCGGATGTGGATCCGTGCAATTAAAAAATCAAATTTGAAATGAACATTCGCCTCATACAGAGCAGTAGAGGGTTAAGAAAATTTTTTGTATAAAAATCTGTATGTAAAACAAGTTATACCAATTTGTAAAAGCGTAATCGAAAAAAATCTCCTGTTTCTGGCTGTGCGATTTTGGAATTGTGTGTCAGATGATCTTATGATAAAGCATCAATCATAAATCAAATTGAGACCATATAATTGAAGAGATTTAGGATCAAAGTTTAAAGCGTCAATCCATATTTATACCTTGAAGCATGAATTTTTTTGTCAGTTCGATAATTTAAAACTTCGTATCTGAGCTGGCTGTTGACAACTAATTTAAAATCAAATTTTCAAAATTCAAAATGGCCGATTTAGTATAATAAACTATTTATTTAAAAAACATTTTAATTTCTATGACAAATATCTTATTATTAATAGAAATGATCAATATAATAATAAAAATAAAACTAATTATGTGCATGTGTAATGTATTTATTACATGTTCTTATCGAGTTTTGCAATTATGTAACATTTAATCAGTGCATAATAAGATGCCCGAGAAATCGTTTCAAACATATCAGATAATATTTGTCTTGAGTACGATAATTTAGTATGGTAACGACGAGAAACTCCGTTATTTCAGAATTCAAAGAGGCATTCATGCTCTTCGACAAGGACGAAGATGGCACGATTACGATGGCGGAATTAGGGGTTGTCATGCGGTCTCTCGGTCAAAGACCATCGGGTGAGTAATTTACTCTTCGCGGATCTCGAATGCATTCAGAATGAATCCGAGTAAATGTCCGGAACGGCGATGTATAAAGCAAACGATAATACATTTCTTTCAGAGACAGAATTGCGCGATATGGTGAATGAAGTGGATCAAGACGGAAACGGTACCATCGAGTTTAATGAATTCCTGCAGATGATGTCGAAGAAGATGAAGAGCGCCGACGGGGAAGACGAACTTCGCGAGGCGTTCCGGTAATAAGTTCTCTACTATACATAAGAACTCCAAGTACCTAATTGCTTCTGGGACAATTGCATTGAAAGAACGTCCCGAGGCAACTTTTGTTCACGGGCAGAATAGAGCTTTTAAGGGTCGACAGGAGAGACTATGGAGACGAATTTCTTTATACTGAAATTATGGCTAAAACGCTGTATGAAGTGTTTTAATTGCGATATTCGTAATCAAGAAAATCATCTGAAAGCTCGTACAAAGTGATTTTTTTTTAAAAAGACAATAAAATTTCATTCTGATATCTCACGCGACATGTAATACGGTGCAATTGGAGTGAACATAATTTTATATATTATAACTTTTTATAAACCAATTTGCAATACGCGCCTTCGTAAAAAAAATGGAGCTAAAAAGATCTCATGATGTAAAAATAATTCTAGGAGATAAAATGTCAGTATAAAGCACATATTCGCACCGCGAATAAGGAGCATATCATTTATTAATTGTTTTCAAGAACAAAATTGCAAAATTTGGCTCTTTGTAGTTTTGTAAAATATAAGCCAAACACGAATTTTATGACAAAATATTACTACAAGACAATATGATAGAGTCTGATAGATTGCAGATATGTAGTTGCACTGCATGAAGTGTAAATGAATTGGTTTGTCACTCCTATCGTTAAGATGTAGATAAGCCTGGCAATTTGGCACTTTGATCGTTTCCTTTTAGAGTGTTCGATAAGAACAACGATGGCTTAATATCCTCGAAGGAGCTGCGACATGTAATGACGAATCTCGGTGAAAAATTATCTGAAGAGGAAGTCGATGATATGATCAAGGAGGCGGATTTAGATGGCGATGGAATGGTCAACTACGAAGGTAACGCATTTTTCTGCCCATTTTTTAAAACGTAATTTGTATACATATGTATGTGTGTGTGTTTATAATTTATCCTAAGCAACTGTATTTCATATACACATTTCTATGACGCAGCTGCTAAAAAATATCAATATGACTGAATAGATATGCATACAGAGTATCCTAAAATTCACGTCTTTCAAAATAGTGTAGTAAGAAAGCTCTCGGAAAGTTAAGTAAAACAGTCAATGGCTACGTTCAGCAGAAAAAGCAGTTTTGCAACTATTGTAAAATTCTTTAATATGATTAGTCTTGCCCTTAGTTTCTCACTGGATCTAAATGTATAAACCAATCATATCCAAGAATTTTACGACAGTTTCATAGTTGCTTTTTCTGCTGAACGTAGCCATTGGTAAATTTTTGCTTGAAACTGTTATTTTTAAGAGAATGAGAGTTTAAATACTGGACAGTCACAAATCACGTTTATAGCTTGAAATAATAATTAGCGTAAATATACCGACAGTGACGGATTATATATGAGGTGCATGAGGCGCTTCAGGACCCGGTCGCTGCGAGGGGCCCGGCCCTGCGGTTCACGTACTCGTCGGTCGTAATGTAGGATTCATACAAATGCTCGACCTTCGACGTCGAACTTCGAACGGTAGTGCAGGGTAGAGAGTATAGTAAGAGAGTAATCAACTCATCACGCGATTCGAATCGCGCTGATTGGCTTGGGGCGCATGGCGCTCAGAAAAGGTTAGAATGACAGTGACACAAGCTGCGGCTTTTATCTTCTTGTCATTGTCGTTCTAACCTTTTCGAACCCATGCGCCCCGAGCCAATTAGAGCACGATTCAGATCACGTGATGAATTGGTGACTCTCTTATTATAGGCAGTCTAGTATAGTAAAGAAACAGGTGTCGCTAACGAAATCGACCCAAAATGTATAGATCAAATTTATTTATGTTAACAAATTTATTTTATTTTAACAAACACAAATAAATGTGTAAATGTTTATTTTTTGGTAACTTTTAATTTTTTTCAAGGGGTCCGAAAATTCTTAGCGCTTTAGGCCAAAAGTTCCTTAATCCGGCGCTGTATACTGAATAGGGGAGACAGCTCCGATGACCTTGATCTTGACATACAGGGTGAGGCATTTAAAATAGATCACCTGAAGTGACTATAGATCACCATAGATGAAAATCATATCAACTAGTCGCTTTTTCCGCTTTCATATAACGTTTTAATTTCGCAAGACACTTCGACCGATAGATAAATTCAAACTGATCAGTAAACGGATGATGCTATGTGCGATTCAATATTTATTATTTACATACCGTGATACACTTGAACGATTAGCGGTATACCAACAAGCAGAGAAGACACGAAATTATTCGAAGAGTGCTTTGAAACAATTTATTTTCTATTTAATTTTTTTTCATTACTGACCTTGCGTAACCTTGAATGATCTTCAATTATAGGTAACTGTATTTATCTTAAAATGCTCTATCAGAATGTAAATAAAAAAACATATCATTCCATTTAAAAATACAGATTTGACCTTTGCTTATCCTTTACGCCTCCACCTACAAAACATTAAAACAATTATTGACATCACATTATATGCACTTCAAAACCAAGCAGCAACTTTTGTTTGATACTTTTCCTTCTATTGTTAAAAACAAGCAAATTATTTAGGTGATCTATTTTAAATGCCTCACCCTGTATGTTATCAAAGTCACGACTCTGAGTAACCTCTAACAGGTTTTAGCTGTCGTTGATTATTTGTTAAAAACTTATTAACAAAAAGTTTAAGAAAATAATGTATCATTTCTGCTATAACAAGTGTTATAAACCAATGAATCTTGCTTTGTGTTGTAAAGTGTAATGCCTGAATGTAGTGGGTTCCGCCCCCTTTCCTACAGGAGAAGCTCCACTACCGAAAAAACTAACCTATCCCAACATAACCCAACCTATTTTTTACTTTTACATGGGAAGTTGTTAATTCACGAAGTAATGATCAATGGCCTAGTTTATGCCCTGACCTATACCCTGACCTTTATTCCACCTAAGGGAGGTCTCAAACGGACCTATAATATTTTTGGGCCTAATGTACGTCGCATTTAGTCTCGCATGAGTGCCATCTATAGTACACTTTACGCCTTTAGGCCGTATTTGCCTGCGTTTACATGCGTTAAAGCTAGTTAGGTCGTATGGCCTAAGAGAGGTCAGGGATTATTTTAAAAAAGATCCCTTACCTAAGTGAAGTTACAGCTATTTACACCGTCGTGACCTGTCGTGTTTAGGTTAGATTTAAAATATAGGTAGCGGTCTAAACGTAGGGTGTAAATTAGGCCAATATGGATTTACAACTTTTTATGCATAGCGAGAGTTACCTCACACCAAAAATGGATTAGGTTAGGTTAGATTGGTTTTTTTCATTCGAATATGGTTGTGTTCGAAACTTCTCTTATATACACAATAAAATAAAAATTCACTACTTTAAAATAAATTGTCTGCTTGAGAGGCGCGCCACTAGACAAGGAAGGAGGAGTACACCGCTTCTATCCTATTAGCACTGCTTTGAATACATATAAACACATTTAGGTATACATATACACTTATGCATATTTATGAATAGATTTACTTATTTAAGCTCTAGAGACATTCCATATAGTTAGTAGTTGATGGATTCTTATTAATACGTAAACATGCGCGGTTTCACTATCTGCGTGTGATTGATAATTACGAAAAGTTATTTTCTTACCTGTGCGAGAAAGATGTAATTAGACAAAATGTTGAGTGTCCGCGATGTATTAATCAATCTCGATGTACGTACGAATTAAAAATTATTATTTTACTACAGGGGATATTACTATAAAATTGTTTGTGAACGTAAAAGGAAAATATGAAATTTCAAGTTAAGCCCAGTTAATTCAATAACACATTCTCTCCCGTTTTCTTGGCTTAAACAAATCATATCGTTTCATTGCATATTTTTTAATGTTGCATTTATCGGGCAATAATTTTTGCAATACGACGAATTAGGAATTACAAATAAATTCTCATAGCGTTGTTGATTGGACCAATTTTGTCGTAAGATAATTAAAATAAAGTAATATATTTCTTTCATATTATTTACTACTTTTGCAGATTTTGATTACTAGCTCAATGGTTAGACCAAGATACAGCTTTAAGTGGTCCAGAAAAAATAGTAAATTAATGAGGCAAAAATTGGGAAACGAAAATATAATCGTGGTCGTATTATACAATGAGAGGACAACGGAAACTATGAATGTATCTAATAGTGGTCATATTTTCATGATTCTTGTGGAAGACCGTACGGAAAATACTTTAATAACAGAAATACATCACATATTACTAGAAACAATTAAATATATATAGTAATGGTTGGCGTGGATACGCTTTAATAAATCAACACAATGATAATCAATACGTGTGTAAATCATTCATAAAATTTTGTTGATCCTATAAGTGGATGCCACACTCAAAATATAGAACGAATATGGTATTGTTTGCGCAGTGCAATTCCTTACTGCGGATTTTCTGAAAAACATATAAACATTATCTCGCCGAATTTTTATTCAAAAGAATGTATCCTTTTGAAGAAAGAATCAAAGCATTCATATATATTTTTAATAATGTTCTTGAATAAATCTCTCATAGTAGAAATGAGATGTTACGTTTTTTAATTCTTTTCTTTGGTTAAAATCTGTTGAAGATCACTCAGGATATTATAATCTTAACAACATATATGTCAAAGTCAAGATCATCGAGGCTGGGTCCCTTATAATAGTGAACAATTATCGAATATTTTTGTTTTTAAAACAGTTTTAACAATGAATTTTTGTTTTTTATAACAGAACTTTTTTTATTAATGACTTATTAACTCGCGAAAAAAAAAATTTATATATTCTAAATAAAAGTCTTATAAGTTCTTTATAAAGATTCATCAAAATTCATATAAAGAATTTATAAAGTCTTTACCCTGATAGCAAAACCAACTACAAAACCGTAGCCATCTGCGTCCGCATTTGGCTATGGATTTGGCGACAACATTTGCTGACAGTGACATGTTTTGCAGCAGATTGGTTGCAAAAACCGAGCAGAGTTTGTTGACAATTTTTGATTGCAGAAAGGCAACAAATTGTAGACAGAGTCTGCGTATTACCAAATATTGTCAGCAGACCCTGTTCGGTTTTTGCTATCAATCTGCTGTCAGATCATGTCGGCAGACTCTGCTCGGTTTTTGTCACCAATCTGCTGCAAAACATAATAAATGTTGTCGCCAAATCCATAGCCAAATGCGGACGCAGATGGTTACGGTTTTGTAGTCAAGATCTGATCGAGTTTGCCGCCAATTTGCGCGCAAATTGGCATCATTTTGCTATCAGAGTAATAAACAATTGCCGCAGAGTAATAAACAGCAGACGTTGACATCATGTCAGCAGATTGGTAGCAAAAACCGAACAGAGTTTGCTGACAATACAGACTCTGTCTACAATTTGTTGCCAATTTGCAATCAAACATTGTCAGCAGGTCTGCTCCAAATCTGTTTCCGCAGGCTTTGCTATCAGGGTATATAACCTTATAAATAAATATATATTTTTAATATAGTTTATATTATAAACTTATTTAAGTTTAATAAGTCCTTATTAAATCTTATTAATGTCCAATTTATATATATTTAATTAAATCTTAATGAGTTTTAAATAAGTTGAATTAATATGTTTTAATATTGTCTTAACAAGTTTTAATAAGTTTTAATAAGGTCTTAATAAGTTGAATTAATAACTTAATATGGATCATTATATGGTCCAAATTAAATCTATATAAGGTTTTAATAAAACCACATTTATTGGAATTGTTAATAAGTATTATATTAAATTTTAATAAAATTTATATTTAATTATATTAAATCTATATATATATTTTTTTTTCACGGGAACGAATAACAAGCGACGGCTTAAACCTATTGGAGGTTATTCAGGATCATGATCTTGACAACATATGTCAAGGTTATCGCGGTTGTCTCCCCTATTCGACATATTTATCAGATATAATAATAATAATAAAGTAAACATTTGCATAATTGTTATCACAGATTATTAAATTATATGTTGAATTATGTGCTAATTACTCCTGTTTCAGAATTCGTGTCGATCCTGATGTCGAAAAATTAGTTCGCGGGAATCGAAAGAAGACATGTAGATTCGAAGATAACGAAGGATCCTCGACGGAGCAAAAAGAAATGGATCCGCCACTCAAGTTCCTCGACTTCGTAGGATTGTAGCGAGAAATCGTTTCATGCCCCATGAAACTATAATCGCAACCGTCGACGGAAAAAATCAAAAGCTCGACGATTGATCGACCGCGGCATGTACGAGACGTTGTGAGATCGAATTGCACCAACATACCAATTTTACTCTATAGCTTCGTGAGAACGACCGATGTGTCGAAGATTTCGCGCGTAAGTAGCGCAGGTAGAGGATTGAAGAGACATCGGAAGTCTTTGACTTCGAGCGGGATGCGCGAGTCTCGCCATGAATAGTAAAGCTACGGCCGGAAAATTGAGAGGAGAGACTTTCTTCCGCGAATTTTGCACATACGTACACGCATATTATATACACAGATACACCTCGCGCTCCTTCGGACTAATCTTAGACGAGTACTTGAGATTTTTAGATATAACGGAAACGTAACGTAATGTTAAAATAAAGAGAATATGTCCAAAACACACGACGGGGGAGGGAAGCGTGACCCGCCGCGCCGCCACCCGGAACAATCAACCGAGCTTTGTTTAGACTTTTACGTACCCTTGAACTTTATCTCCCCGCCTCCCCTGATAACTTTACGGAGCGGAGAATTTAGGAATTACCTAGCTTTCCATCGCCCCTTTTAAGCATCCTCACGAGAAAGTCCTGAAGTATATATCAGTACACGATATGTTTACGTGATATACTATATATACATATATACGTCATATATACATACATATTATATACATATGTTATTATATTATTACTATAACGATACGATATTCCTTTTGCGTCGCTTATTTCCTTGAAATGCGACGCCCACGAAAGGTACCGTACTTCGAATGTTTTTACCGCTTGTACTCTACAATTCAGAAACGCGCGCAAATCTAATGTAGGGACACACACGCGTCTCCCGTCCTTGTCGTTGCCCTCTCATTGCCATCACTTCCTTGATTGTTTAGCAGTTTTAAAGCGAGCACACCAATGACACGCTGAAGAGTGATTGATACTATCGCTTTCGCACGTAGCGTGAACTGATCGATAATTGCATGGTGTTGCGTTTCTATGTAATCTGTAATCGATCACCGTCGAGTGAACGAGTGCCCTGGTTGAAAAAGCGAGTCTTGAAAGTCTAAACGCTCAAATTACTGCGACATTTCCTGTGGGAACAATTTAAGCAAAGCGCTTGTTACCTAAGCGTACGAGATTTGGAAAGATGTTACGTATATGTAAGGTGTTCATTTCTTGATTATCGAAGAAATAATCTAAACGACCTTGTTTGTCCACGGGCTCGTTGGTGAAGTTTTAAACGGATCTAATGCTGTGACTGAATTGACAATCCCTCGTTACACACTCAATGACTGCAGCCATCGCTATTACGATAATATTTATTAACAGGTGTCTATAGTCATTAGGTATGTGGCAGTGGCTTTTAGTAAAGATAAGAGAAAAAGAATCTAAACAGAACTTATCATCGCGACATTAAATTGGAGTCAAAGTGGTTCCAAAATGATTATTAAAAGTTACCTTAGTTCGATCTCTGCAGTTACGATTCATTTCAACATTAAAATGACATTATCACGACTTGTTGTTTTGCAAGCCCTTACGGGAACAATTCAACCAGGGTGATTAACGCGAAGCGCGAGCACCTCTTTGTTCACAAACACGGATGGGTTGTACAATGCGATCCTCTTAAAAGATGAAAAAATGGTACGACGTGTTTCCGCTGTCGCACAATCAGTATCGCTCACCGCGTCGTCGGTGTCCGCGGATTCAGAAGTGTGTAAGCTATGTGCGCATTACGTTATGGTACCTTTAGACTTGTTATATAAGAGAAAATGAAGCTCTGCGCGCGTTAACATAACGCGTGACTCTATGTCACCCATAGATAGTACCTAGCGACCTATAGTGACATATAAAAAAAAAACACGCGGTCGCAAGTATAAACGATAAAACTGTACACGTGGATTATTATATATTATACGTGACGATGTTGCTATCACGAAAAAGAAGAGGAAACATACTACGTTGTAGATATAATTATGTACATATATGTCCTCTCTGCCGCCCGCGTTCCATACACACACACGCCTGCACGCACGCACGCACGCATGCACGCGCGCGTAATCCGATCTGGCACGAAACGGAAGTTGAGAGTACGCGCGCGCGCGCGATTAGTAGTCGCAAGAGGGGACCGAGAGATCGAAGTGATAATAACGCGCGACCGCATCTGTGGCGTACTATCAATCGGATTAATTTTCTTTCATTTTGTGAGCACGTAATGTCCCATTATTTTATTCAATTTTCTATTATTTTTGACAAACGTTGTTATAACATGTTTTACGTCAAACGCATTTTGGAGTCATGGAAATCAATGATTATTCGTTTATGTTCATCTATTTGTATAGCATGACTTTTTTACGTGTTTGTCTTATTAATCGTATTATAATTTGTGAGCCTTTATAAAAGATTAGATTTCTTTTTTTAAAAATGTACATACACGTATGTATATATGTACACACATTCTTTATATGTCAAGAAACTTTTCTTAATAAAGTACTAAACATTTGACTAAAAAGAATTGCATACTTGGCAAATATTTAGTATTTGATTCAGAAAAATTGCATTGCGAATCAATCCTTGAAAAGATTATCTGATATGCAGAAATAGTCTATTATTCATTTTTGTTTCTTGAATTTTTCTAATAAAATAATGATAGTTCGGACAAATTAATGATCATCATATTTATTACTTACTTACTAAAAGGGCATTTAAATCGCTAAAGTAAGATAAACTACAATAAGATTTTCCAAATAATGATTACAATTTCTTTCATGGGTTTTATAAGAATAAAAGTATGAAACATCATGCTAGCTAAATAAAAATTTATGGTAACAATTTTTTAAGAAGAGATATTAGAATAATTATTCCAAATTTCGATTTATATCCAAGTATTATCTTTAAATCGTTAATAAAATATGCAAACAAATTGTTATCATAAACATATAAAAAGAAAAAGTTTATAAATACGAGTTGAAATGCTTTTTTCTTATACACGTTTTTTTTTTCATGAATCAATCTGGATTTTACAATTTTTATTTGGACTTGTTAGCCCCGTCAAAGTATTTAAAAACCTGAATATCATACCGTGAATAACGTACTGCGAAAAAACCAATTTAAAACCTTACACCGATTGACTGTACGTACATGCGCTAAAAGATAAAGTAGGAAAAAGAGCGAGAGAAAGGATAGATAGCATTTTTTTTTTTTTTGTAAAGAAGAAAATCCGGGTGAAACGCGCGTGTTTCGAGATCCGGGCAACTCGATCACTATTCTTTTCAAATACGAGCAAAACACAGAAGGCGATTGCGGCCTGAAACGCTGTCGGACGAAACGGTGATTGCGGGTAGGCACAGAAGAGACAGACAATAAAATCTGTTGCTCTCTAATCCGATCGATCAACGACTACGTTACATTTAACGGCGTTGCCTACCGTATTACCACGGTGTGAATGCGCGTTTATTTCGAAAGGATGGCACAACAGCGATGGGAGTTCAGGTTGTCGAGAATGCGAGGGACCTTGATGATTTAATAGATATGCGATTACTTGTATATATGACGCGTGACGTATGATTAACATAAACTTGTATTATTTTTCCAGGCAAAAACTGTGATTTTTGATAGAACCGTTGATTTCGCGAAACGTGGACAGTTCTACTGCAGAGATAATCTAAATCAAATTTTGAAGTACGATCAATTCAAATAAGAGATGTACGTTTGATTATTAATGACCTAATATATCTTTAAATCTTCAGAATTTGACTTACATTATTTTCGAGGTGAACAGTTCACATCGCGCCTCCGCGAGTACAGAGTACTGCCATAACACGATGAAGATACTCATTTTGGGTTTAAATTAATTTGTAAAATAGTTTCACAGCGATTTACAAAGGCAAATAAAATTCGATATTACTTTCATAATTCTGAAGAATTATTGTAATATCTAGCTTTTCTCTGAAATTAATTTAATAAATTAAAATACTACTTTCAAAAGTTTAAACTATTAAATTTATAACAGTCTCTTTTTTTTTCGATGGCGCAGTACACACAGTTTACAAAGCGTACTAAGCGAGAGAGAAAGAAAAAGAGAAAGAGATGGTATGCTTGTGTAAAACCGAGTGTTCATAGACAGGAGAACACGCGAAATATGAAAGCGAAGTGACAGTCGCGTTTTTGACAATAATATATTTTCTTAACGCTTATATATCTCGAAGCGAGATGTCCCACCGCGCAGTGTCTTTCTTTCCATTGGGATAGCACCGTTCCACAATAAACGCTACGTTCATTATGGTTTGCGATCTACCAATGCTCGTGATGATCGATTACGCTTATTCGACGACGTACGCTCTTAACGAACGTTCGCTCTCTCGTGTTCGATGGGAAAAGTACCAAAAGCACCGCGACTCGAAACACCGCGACCTGGAAAGTCAGGAACCTGAGCGAATCAATATGGCGAACGGCGACACCCTGATAGATAAGAGAAAAAGTGAAGTGTCAGCTCGATAATACGTCACAAATAGCAATGTATAACGTCCGAACGACAATATCTCTAATGGTTTAACTGAGAACTTCGGTAAGAGCTACCGAAGAAACAGATATATACGCAGATCCGTTCCAAGCATTAAGTATCCTGAAATTATATACCTATACAACACCAACAATGAGATAAGCCACTGCACGTCGCTATTTGTTTGTCGCAACGTCACGCATATTAGATTTCCTACTGTCTCCCTTCGCATCTCTCCTCTTTAAAGAAAGTTACTGCTAATTTTTGTGAATGACGATACCCCGCGAGTTTGTTACGTACGACTGGCAGAAGAAACGGTTAAGTTATTATATAATGCGGTCAAAATAGTGGCAATTATTAATTGTTACATATAGACAGGAGTTATTATTTTGATTTTTAAGGATAACTTTACAATTCTAGTAATTCAAACTTTTTTTTATAAAACTTTGTAACCAAAATTTTTTAACACAAAATACTTTTCTTTTATTATTTGGAAAATTTTGTGTCGTAGAATTTTCTGTTTCTCACTAATAAACGTAATGCTCGGATTAAACAGAAATTAAAATGACCTCTTGTTTTGATACGACCAAAGTTATCCTTACAAATCAAAAAGATTCCGATATATGTCATCATTGTTTTCAAGGTTTCCGAAACAATTTTCAGGATTTTACAAATGTGAATTTCCTTATTATACTGAATTTTGTAACGCATGTATACGATGTGACTTTGCCTAATTTTTTTAGCAACAGTGTAGTGACAGTGCGACACGCGTAAGTGTAAGTACAAAAGGATTGCTGATATAAGCATGCAATGAATTTCTATACAATATGCATAAGAAGAATGGATCGTCTGACGACACGATAGAAAAGAACGTTATCTCGAAAAAAAAGAAATGCAAAAATCGTGTCTGTACGCTCAAAAGGCAGCGTAAAGCTTTTAGATTTTAATTATATTGAACGCACTTTATATTCGTTAAAATAATAATTATCCTAACTATTTGAGGGTCAAAAGAAGTCAATGAGCATTTGGTACATTTTTGCAGAAAGATAGACAATTGTTGTTATTAGTCTGTCATTTTAATCAC